TTATATTTAAAATGAGATGTTTATCCTGTATTTGATTGTGTTTATCTGCAGTTAGTTACACGAATTCAGATATGGGATGAAATCGGATAGAGATGAACGGATTTAAGAGTTTTAAGAGTTTTTAAGAGTTTTAGCCAAATGCTTTATAATATAGTATAGATATAGATATAGATTAAGGGTGTAGTTAACGAAGGTTAGGAGTGCGAAAGACTCCTCGAAATAAAAAACTTATATTTATTTATTAATCAAGCTAATACAAAACGATGACCTAATGTTTTTCGAGATAGAGTTTCGGCCCATTAGAGTTACAGAAAAGCCCATTAAAAACCATCCGAATTCAAACTCTCTCCATCTATATAAGAAACCCTCGCTCCCCTATTATCTTCATTCCCTCCAATGGCGGCTGGCCTCCATTATCATCGCCATCATCATCCTTTCGTCTACAGCAGTAGGTATATTGTAGGTTACTTCATCTTTCTTCTTCAATTTTACGTGTTTTACTTGTGCGGTGATGAAGCTATTTGTGGACTAGAGTTTCTGACATTGGGCTCTTCTTCCCATTAAGTCTGACGACAAACCCTTGGCTGTCTGAGCACAAATCACTCTCCATATCCTCATAAATCTTCTACTTTTTTCTTCCTGAATCAATTCGATTTCTATTCAACCTTTTTTTTATTCAGATCTGGATTACTTTCTGAAACTGATTTGTGGCTTATGATGATAAACTTTAATTATCTTAGCGGATTTCAGTGAGATTGAGATATATTTTGATCAATGATCTGATTGTTACACACACTGAAGCCTTGATTCGATTTGATTATTTGAAATTGTGTTGAGAAGAGTGTTTGAATTGCAATGATGAGGTAAGACACCTTATGGTGTAATTAGGGCAGTGGACAAGTTCTATCTTGCCGTGATCCCAATTTTTAACGACTTCTCCTTCCACTGAGCTCCATTTCATTCTTCTCGTCTTCCAACAGCTTTTTTATGGCTGAAATTTGAACAAATATGACTGTTGAAATGCATCCATTTACCAATTCTAGAGGATAAAACAGTTCCTTCTGGTGTAATGGCTCGGATGCAAGAGTAATGTTTGTGGCCATCCTGATAAATGGGTTGTTTCAATGCCATTTGATCCTGGAAACACCTCATACAATACCCTTCTTTTTTGTTAGAGTAAGTGGCTGTTTACTAAATATTTATCTGGTAAACGTTTACCAGTAAAATTTAATATTATCATTGATTTACTGGCTAAGATTTTAGTACCAAAATTGTATTGTATGCAACCATTTGTCCTGTAAGCATTTATCACGACTGAACATGGATTTGGAAATCCTTTGGGAGGGATTGGTATTTCAAATCAAAATGCTGTGAGATTTCAAAAAATTGCTTCCTAGCCTAACTTTAGCCGTACCGCTTCTTTCCCTCTGGTTTTCGACAAAAACGATGCTTTGCTTTCCGATGCTCACCTCGTCGGTGGTAATTAAAAGTTTAGAATTGATAAAACCCATAGCGACGCCATTAATTTGGTGGTTTCTGATTTTGACGGCCTGGTTTTCACCGAATCTATAGACGGGTCGTTGGAGATGATGTTTTTTACAGTTTTCTAAATTAGGAAAATGTTTAGATGGTGTCCGTTGGCGGTGAACACGACGAAAGTCATCATGTACGTCGGATCTTCTTCTCGTCTTCCGACGACTTTTTTATGGCTGAAATTTGATCAAATATGATCGTTGAAATGCATCCATTTACCAATTCTAGAGGATAAAATAGTTCCTTGTGGTGTAATGGCTCGGATGCGAAAGTAATGTTTGTGGCCATCCTGATAAATGGGTTGTTTCAATGCCATTTCATCCTGGAAACACCTCATACAATAATACCCTTCCTTTTTGTTAGAGCAAGAACTGTTTACCAAATGCTTACCGGTAAAGGTTTATCAGTAAAATTTAACATTATCTTTGACTTATTGGGTAAGATTTTAGTTCAACAAAATGGTGTCGTATGTAATAATTTAGTCGATAGGTGTTTATCATGGTAAAATTTGTTGTTTTTTTACTTACTGGACAAAACTTTTGGTCCTTGTTTTGTTCTTATCGGGTAAGATTCTTGGTACTTATCATATTTATTTTTTGATAAACACGGTAAGTGTTTGGTATACTGCCCCTAAGTTATCTTATTTGTCCCTGTGGTTTGTTAAAATTGTGAATTTCGTCCCTATGGTTTTAAAATTTCTGTTTTCATTCCTAGTGTTTGCAAATCATTTCTATTTTCGTTCTTGAGTCCAAAACATAACTTTTAAGAATGAAAGACTAAAATTGAAATCTAGCGTGACACATGAGGACGAAAAAAACAATAAATTAAATCTTAAGGACAGAAAGATGATTGAATTATGAACTATAAGGACGAAAACTGTAATCCAAAATTACAAGTTGTAAATTTATTTGTACACCAATGTGTCACATCTACATGAATACATACACACATGCTTGTAATTGAAAACACAAATGTATAAGAATTTTAGAAATGCAGCGAGATGCATTTTTATTTTAATTTTTCGTTTTATTTTTTATTTCTGTTGATATACAATACGGTTTATATGGGTTTGTTAAAGATAATGTTTTTATTTTTAAATAAAAATAAATTTGAAGATATCATAAAATTTTGAAAAAAATATATCAATATTAATATTAAATTAATTAATTAAAAGTTTTTGTTTTTATGTAGTTTCTCTAATGGTGTGTATGATTTATAGTAATGGAATGAATTTGTAGGGATTTGGATTTGAAATCCATTTCAATCCAATGTTTGATTGTAAGATTGTTGGTATTTGAAATCGAAGGATTCTTTACCCATACCACTTTCTTCCCTCTGGGTTTCAACAAAAATGATATCCTTGTTTTCCGAAGCTCTCCACGGCGGTTGTAATTAAAAGTTTAGAATTGATAAAACCCACAACGATGTCATTAATTTGGTGGTTTCCGATTTTGATGACCTGGTTTTCACCGAATCAGTAGACGGGTCGTAGGAGATGATGTTCTACAGTTTACTAAACTAGGAAAATGCAGTAATGGCGTTTGCGGTGAACACGGCGAAAGCCGTCGTGTACGTTGGATCTTCAGATGGGTTAGTGAATTTCTAGGAACGACCAAAACATACGTTGGCTCAGTGCGGAGTTATCATATGTTACAATCAAACATTTTTGTATATCGTTGCCGTTGTGAGCTTGTTGTTTAGTGGATCGTCGAACAAGAACATTTGTGTGTGGTAAAGCGAAGTTGGTGGCTTCCATTTAGTGCCTTTCGGCTAGAGGTGATCATTTGTGGACCTGGGCTAGGATTGGGCTGGTTTTAACTTTTTTTTTTTGTCTAACATGCTTAATATTGTAAATCTAAGCCCTTTTTTCGGGCCTGATAACTTGCCATTGCGCGTCCTATAAAATTGATTGGGCTTGTTCATGGACTAACGTATCTAAAAAGTGTAACTCTTAATTAACAAATTTGGAACCAAAAATTAAAAGATAAACACCTTTACAATTGAAACTTTAAGCAACCACTGACTCTATCCATTTTTTATCGTAGGACTTTTGAAATAAAAATGCTAACAAATATAATATTGAGCCTTTTGGGGTCTTAAGAAAAAACCAACTCTCAAACTATAAGTTTAATAAGTTAATTTTAATTAATGGTTAAAAAATATTAATTATAAAACATAAACGGGCTGAGTGGGCTTGTCCATATTTATTTTCACATTGGCCATGTTCGTCCATTAATTTTAACCAACAAACCCGGTTCTGTCTATTTTTTCGATAATGGTTATCTAAGTCTGTATTTTAAGTGGGCTTGGTCTTTGTCTTGGTCTAACAGGTCATCGTCCTGTCCAAGAAAACTCTACTCTCGGCTTTAAACGAGCACACTGCTCTAGTCAAATGTTTGGTGGGGAAGATGAGATTAGTGTTCGTGAATGGGTATGTATAACGGTATTTTAGATAAGTCGGTGAAATAGTGGCGGAATAGCCATGGAAGTGGTACATACTGACGTAATTAAATCCCAATCCAAATACTATAGGGGTGAGCATAGGCGGGTACCCGCCCTTTTTGACAGGAACCGGAACCGGAACCGGCGGTTCTTGAGATATTGGAACCGGAACCGGTTAAAGGGGTTCTTGAATTTTTGGAACCGGAACCGGAACCGCCGGGACCGGTTCCGGTCCCGGGTACCCGCTTCCTAAAATATTAAAATTTTGTTATTTAGAAATAAAMATAAAATATTGCCAAAACACTAAATTAAATAAATAAGAATACAAATTATACGGAATAATGGTTACAAATATTGTTTTAACGATTACAAACCAAAATAGACTAATAGAAAATGTTCAAAGTTTAATGATTATATACTATAATTATAAATGTTCAAAACTTAACGATTACATACTACKAACTGTAGTTTAGTAGAACTAGAAAGTAGATGAAGAATGAAGATGACTGCGTCATTTGAAGATGTAACCTAATATAAATTTGGTATTGAAAAAAATTAATTATTTTTTTATTGAAAACAACCGCCGGTTCCGGGTACCAGGCGGGTAACGGTTCCAAAAAACTGAGAACCGGAACCGGAACCGTTCTCAATCGGTTCCGTATTTTAGGAACCGGAACCGGAACC